GCTTCATTTTAATCAGGATTATTAATGATTTTCTTTTAAATACTTTTCAGCGAAAACCTTTTTAAACGGCAATCGCTATGAAGGAGGTTATAAAAACAACAAGAAGCATGATCATGGCACTTACTATCGGGCTAGTGGAGGCAAGTATGTGGGTGAATGGGCTCATGGTGTTCGCAATGGGCAAGGAGTACTTACATGGCCAAGTGGCGATCAATATGAAGGGAGTTGGGAAAACGACACGATGCATGGTCGTGGCACTTTATATTGGGCCACTGGAGACAAGTATGTGGGCGAATGGGCTGATGATGTTCGCAATGGGCAAGGAATACTTTCATGGCCAAGTGGCGATCGATATGAAGGAAGTTGGAAAAACGACGAGAAGCATGGTCATGGCACTTACTATTAGGCCGATGGAAGGAAGTATGTGGGTGAATGGGCCGATGGTGATTTCAATGGGCAAGGAATACTTTCATGGCCAAGTGGCGATCGATATGAAGGGAGTTGGAAAAACGACACGATGCATGGTCATGGCACTTTATATTGGGCCAGTGGAGACAAGTATGTGGGCGAATGGGCTGATTATGTTCGCAATGGGCAAGGAGTGCATACATATCCAAGTGGCGATCGATATGAAGGAAGTTGGAAAAGCCACAAGAGGCATGGTCATGGCACTTACTATTGGGCCGATGGAAGGAAGTATGTGGGTGAATGGGCCGATGATCTTCGCAGTGGGTAAGGAGTGCATACAGGTTGCATGGTCACAGCACGCGGTATGTTGCCAATGGTTGTATCGAATAAGGCGAGCGGACAAATGACACATTTACCGGTTGAAATTTCTTTTCAACATTTGTATTGTAATAGTTTCTCGTTTCGTTATCATATTCAAAGAATAAATGACCTTTCGTGTGGTGTGAACTCTCGAGATATTGTAAAACAGACTGTGTAGTCTATTTTGGCGAAACACTATTTTTGCGTAGCAATAGACGAATACCGAGGTGAAACATGAGAGTTATAGATATGACAATGAGTTTTAAATATTGCTATCTGTTTCCATTTCATGCAGGACTCAATATACTCCACTTTTGTCTGTTGCATATTTGGCCACCAATATTTATGTTTCATTTTGTCGTATGTTCTTTGACTGCCAAAGTGTCCGGACAACGGATGATCATGATAAGAATAAAGAGCTGGTCCGATCATTGGTTTTGGAAGATAAATTAGCTTTGACACAGTGTTACCACCACCTCTCTACTGAAGTTTATATAAGACACTATCTTCAAGGAAATACGGATGCTTTGTGGGGTTCTTTTGAATTTCGACT